AAGTAGTCGACCATCATCAGGTCATCCTCCTCTGTGGCAGGACTGCCATCAGGCATCTCCCTTGCTGCCGGTTCCGGAGTTGGGCTGTGGTCGATGTGCTTGGCCTCATCAGGCTGGGTTGGCATCATATCGACATCGGCATTGAGAGTGGTTCTTCCGCCTCGGGCGGGAAAAGGGCTCTGGCCAGGATGTCGGTGCTGGCGACTGGGGCTGGGTGTGCCTGTGGTGCCTTCTCGTGTTGGTCTGCTGGACAGTTGAGTGGGAAAGAAAGTCCTCAGTCCTGGGCTCTGCTTGACTGGCGCTCCCTTGCATTCCTTCTTCAATGCCTGAGTGGCAATCAGACGATTGTCCTTGTCCGTCAGGACTGCCAGGCCGCAGTGTTTGCACGTGACTTTCGTGCCCAGCTGCCACAGAAGGTGTGTGTGATGGCCGATGGTCTCACCTGTGTAGGCCTGGTCAATGCAAGGGCTGGCAATGAAGTCCGAAAAGGTTGGCTCCTTAGACCTCTTGAGGATGGCGCTGCCACAATGTTGACACTTGAGGTATCCGGTGGTCTTGATGAAGTGGTGCTCCGGCAGGTCGGGTGGCCGGTTGGTTTTGGATAATTTCCTGAATGAGCTGAACCCGTGTGGTTTTCTTGGTGATCTTCTCTTCCAGATGGTCTGTGGTAGTGTCAGCCTGGCCAATGGTGATTTTGGCCTCGCAGGGTTCTGTCAGGCGCTGTTCCAGGGTCAAAGCTGTCATCCCTTGGTGTACTCGAGTGCTGCACAAGGCACATTGGTAGCCGCTGCGGTGTTTTGTCCAGGCATGGCCGCCTTCAGTGGGCGGGTCTGTGCACTTGTTGACAAGCCTCTTCTTGTATTGCTTGGTGTTGGTGGCTTGTGACCGGTTGGCTTGTCGTGGATGTAGTGCGATGGATCTTTGTACATGGCACAGATCCTCTCCACAGCCTGTGCATAGACTTGGAGGTGGTCTTCATCCAGGGCCTGTTACAGCCTATGTCATCAACCCATCCATTGAGCTGGATGTGTGAAAAGCGCTCAACAAATGGCCTGTGTGTCGGCGGCTGACCATTCGGTGACAGGCTCACGGGATTCATACGGCCTTGTCTTGGTGCGATCACTGAGTGGCTCGGCTGACTACCTTCCTTAGTTCAAACAACTGCCGCAGTTTTGTTTTCAACTGGTCTCGAAAATGCTGATTTGGCGTTGCAAAAACGGTCAAACATGTTTCCTCAACGAAATCCTGAGCTTCGGCATTGGCTGTTGGAATTTCCTGCAAGCATGACTCCAAGTTCACCACAAATGATGTTGGAATCTGGTTCGAACCGCTGCTGGTCGAGATGCGTCGGGTCAGGTAATCCTTGAAGGACTTGCTGCGGGGTCTTGAAAGTGTCCAAACTGACTGCCCATACTTGAGTGATTTGACTTGCCAGCTTTGGGGTCAAATGTGGTAGGTGCACAGGCACTTTGCCATCATCAGCTAGCCACATCAAGTCCCTGTAGATCAGGATGGCGAAGTAGTGACCTGCTTGGTCAGTGTGTCCTCTGTGGCATATCAGGACAGCAGGAACAAACTCGGTTGAGGTTCGTGCAAAACCATCCAAAGATCGAGGCATGGTGAAAGTGCCGTAGGGATTGAAGGGTTTGCTGTGCTGGGTCATGATGCCATCGATGCAGGTGTTGCGTGTGACATGACAAATCAACACCCTCTTGTCGTCCATCAAATATTGTCCCAGTCCTTGATTGGCCCAATTGTTGACCAGCTGTTGAAAGGTGACATCCTCTGGCCAGTCTTCAGGGTAGGGTATCAGGATGGGTTGCTGCGCATGGTCTGTGAGGTATCCACCCTCCTTGATTTCAGCAAATCTGTAGTGACTGTAGTGAAATGCTCTGGATTGGGAAAGTAGCCACAATGAGTTCACGAAGTGGCTGGCATCACCCTGGACATTCAAATCATGTTGCTTCCAAAGCTCCTTGAGACCTGGCAGATGCACGATGTCAACAACTTCTGCAGTCTCTAAAGACTCTTGAACTGCATCCTGCAAAGTTCCCCAGGGCTGCGTGCTGGTCTCTTGAAGGAGGGCACAAACCCAGGTGAACGCCCGCCAGGGTGCATTTGCATAGCACCTTGCACTAGGATTGCCCACTGGCATAGTGAGGTTTTGGAGTATGCAATCCGTCGAAGTAGCATAATCCTTCATTGGTTGCGTCCTCTCAGTTGGAGGCGTGAGGCTGATGGTACTTGAGCTTGCACCACCACGTATGTGCACAAAATCGTTTCCATGAACCGCCCGTCGATCTACGTCAGTTGCGCCCGACACAGGTTGGGGCGCGCATCGATGTTCAACTGTAGCATGTTGCAAAAAGTCTCCTGCACCATGGTTTGCCATATCCCCGTCAAGAATGGTGTGGAGCTGCCCAAAAGCTTGGTGTGGCGCAGTAGCATGTGACTTGTCCCCTTCACATGTTACATTTGCTTGCCCCTGTGCTGCTGCTGAGCCTGATGCTGAGCCTGAAACCCATAGTGGATGTTGTGGATCTGCAGGCTCAAATGCTGCTTCAGCAAAATGTGTAGCATCCAACTTTGTCCCCATGTTTGGACCTTCAGAACGTTCACATGACAAGAGGTCATCTTCCGGTATTGGAATGGTCCACCCCTGAAAAATAGCGCTGGCTGAGTTGTTACCCACAGTGTCCTGGTGGTGGAATCTGGATCCTGATTGGGCCTCTTCAAAAGGCTATGGAGCTGGGTCTTTTGTTCCTCCGTTCAACTGCCATTGGAATTTGCTCACCTTCACCCTTTGGCTCGGTGAGGTCCCCTGGAGCTGGAGTTTGGTTGAGCGCTTTCATGTAGTCCTCCGAAAGATTCTTCAAGGTCGTTTGACCATCAGCCAGCTTGCTCTGAAGTTCTTGCATGTCACTGAGGAGAGCAGCATACTGGGATTTGACCTGGTCAATCTTGTTCTGCAATTGTGTCTTCTTGATGGACATGTTCTTCAGCTCACTGACTTGGCCTTTGAGTTTGGCGGCAATCTCTCGTTCAGTGCAGGGCTCAGGAGTTGTGAGCTTAGCGACAAGATCCTGCACCTGTGGAGGTAACGACTGCATGTGGGACTTCAACACCTCTTGCAGTTGGGGCTCTTCAGGCTTTGTCGGCCCAATGCCTATGGCCTGCAACTTGACTTGGGTGTCCTCAGAGAGGCCTGTGGATAGCAATTTGGTGGCCTCCTGCTGCACCTTTGTGCGCTTTAGTGGCTTCAGCTTGCTCAATCCTGGCGGTGGGTCAGGCCAGGTGCGGCTTCCTGCCTTTGCTTTGTTGGCTGGTTTGCCATATCCTTTGCCTTTTCCGGTAGTCCTTTAGGGTTTAGGGTTTAGGGTTTAGGGCTAGAGGTTGGCCACCAGGTTCCACATCTCCTGCATTTTGTGCCTGGTCTGAGCTTGTCGGTGTAGATCCAATTTGAGCAGGAGGTGTGCTTGCACACCATGTAGGCCCTTCCTCATTGTGTTGTCATAGTTCAGGATGAGGGTTTCCTCAGGGTCCAGGAAGGTGTCTTGGTTGAGGGCAAGGTTCAGCGCACCGAACACGGTCTGGCCAGTGAGTACCTGTGAGGTTTAGCACCAGTCCCCAACTGGATGGCCACGATGAAGCCAAGCGAGCACTGCCAGGTTGCGTCGATCGACTCAAGAGCGGGGAAGATCAAGTCGAGATAACGGGCAAAGAATGTGTTGTAAAGGAACTTGTTCCTGCTCGCTGTGGCCTGGTACTCGAGGCTATGTTCGAGTGGGGCCTTGTGCACTAGCGGGTCTTCAAGGGGTGCCCGCTTGAGCACTAGTGGCTTGAGCCATGTATGTATGCATGTATGCATGTATGTATGTATGTTTGTTTGTTATGTAAATGTATTTGTGTGTCTGTGTGTGCGTGTGTTTGCACACACGGGAAGCAGCCCTAGAATGCTCTAAGCTGCATTTGTTTGCCAACCACTTCACTCAACTCATTTGCGCTCCCGTCCTCTTGGCATGCCTGCAGTAGTCACCTCGGTGGTACTTGTATAGCTCCTCCCCTTCCACAACCCAACATTACGGCTCATTCCTGCTGCACAAGCTGCAAGCATCTTGTGCACACTGCGTACTTATATACTGCAACGGTTAATTTTAAGAATGAGTTCGCAAAGGAATGGTTTTGCTTGCGTAGTAGGCTAGGTTCTTGCAAAACATGATGCCTTTGTCTGATTGCACCAGACCGGTGTTGCTTGGCTCCCTTATATGGATGATGCGCCGCAAAGAACTTAAACTCGGGCAGCCTGCCTTTCAGCCTGCAAAGGTGGCGATGATGCAGATGTAGTTGGCTTCTCAGGCACCCTCTAACTGTGACCACCGTCCTGGAATCCAACCAGGATGAAACTCCAGCTGGGCAGCTGTGCCAAAAGATTGCAGATGGTGATTTTGAGGCCAGCAGTGGGTCACTGTTTTTGATAACTCTTGTCAGATCAAGCATGTGCCTTGAGTGAGGCTGCATCTAGCTTGCTTCGTGCCAGCCCACACCTAGCAGCGCAGGCAAACAAAGTTGCTGTGTTTAGAGGGGCCACTTTACATCATTCAGAGGCTGACAAGGACGGAATGTTGCCTCTCCATTGGGCTGCTGACAGAGGAGACCTAGACATGGTGCTGGGTTCAGCCAGTGTGAAGGATGAATCGTCAGTTGCGATTTCCAGTTGAACTATGACGGAGGCACTTTCCCGTTTGAATGCCTCAGGTGCAGTTCTTGCTGGCACGGCCCACAGGGTCCTCATGAGCAGTTGGCCATGGCAGTTTCCGGGTCAAAGAATGAACTCGCTCACCTTCCTCAGTATAGAAATTCTTTACCTTTAGCTAAGGAGATCCCAGAGGCCAGGGCAATGATAAGTGCACCTGATGCTGCCGGGGATACTGCGCAAGGGCCTCTCCTAGCATTTGTGTAAGTTGCAACAATTATTGAAGTTTTGCGAAGCTAAGGTTACATTATTCGGCCTCCTGCTCATTGGGTTCTAGTGCCATTTTCAAAAGCAGCATGATGCAGCATGGTTGGATGAAATTTGCCCAGGTGATGTCTGAAAATGAGATGGTTGCACAGCTGCTGGTTGCCAAAGGTTTGGACCCCAAAGTCGAACCTGACTACTGTAGTCACTAGTCGCCTTGGCGTCGGCGTAGGTGCCAGTGTGAACCTCGCCAATGAGGCAGCCTGTGTTTCGGGGGTTTGTTTTTCTGACAGAGCACATCTTCTCAGCGTGCCAAGTACCAATCTCAGACAAGCACGCAGTGGCCGCGGCAGTTCTTTGAAGTATGGATTAATCCGCAGCATTCAGGTGCCAGTCCAGGTTGCCAAACCTGCACGAACATTTGCACAAACAAACATGCGCACACGGAGCAAAAAAGACGCGTATGGCAGTCTACCACGGGTAGCTCTTTTTTGGACAGCTTCATAGGCATGTGATGAGGCCATGTCCGTTCGTCTTTCGCTGGTTCACGGGAGCCCACTAACTTTGGGCGCAGGCACGTGCACGTGGCACCAAGCACATGGGAACTTGACCTTCACGACGAGTTTCGACAACAGCTCGGGAATGGACATGATTGATCCTGGCAAGATGCTTGGAGGCCCTCCACGAAAAGACCTGAAAGACGAGAAGATCTTCAGTGATGAACCACAGAGTATGGACAAGTTGCAGCAAATGGACGTGGAGAAGCGGGCCAAGAAGCCAGATGCTTGGAAGGAGAAGCCGCAAGAGGAAGAGCTGGCCGAACAAGACAAACAAGATGTAGAAGAGCTGGAACATGATTCAAAGAAGATGCGAACAGAAGGAGCCAATGCAGAGGATGAGTCTGCCAAACGCGATGAAGACTCAGAAGAAAATGAAGTGGCAGAAAGTAGAACCAGTGAAGTCAAAGGGAGCGCAGACAACCATGAATATTTTGCGCAGAGTCGTATAGTTGCCCCACCCTACTTCAAGCCTATTCAACCTGAGGACGAAATCCCGGTGGCTGTTGCAACTACCCAAGACCAGTGGAGGCGTCAAAGGATTGCTAAAGCTCAGGTTCAGGTGGCGCAGGACCAAATGCAACTTGCAAAGGACACTCAGGCGCTTGCTGAAGGGCAGGACAAGCTGACAAATTTGCGTGTTCCTGGGGTGGCTAAGGAGGAACTGCTTGCTGAGCAGGTTCGAGACCAAAAGAGAATCGCCTTGGACCAGGAACTCTTACTACAGAGTCAAAAGAGACTAGCTGAGGATATGGACAACGCTGTTGATGGCAAATTGAGGTGGGAGCGTTTAGAAGACTACCGGAAGAAACGCATTGAGCGATTTCAAGACATGGTGAATGAAAAGCTCGATCGGCTTTACAAAGAGGAAATTGAATTTGTGAAGCGAAATCGGAAAGGCAAACTTCGAGGTGCTCCAATCAATGTTCCTCAGTTTGGTTCGGTGGGAGTGCGTGTTGTCTCAGGAGATAAGGCGGCTCTTGCAACAGGAGGGAACGATGGTAGCGAAGCCCTCCAAGGCCGGGAGTGTAGAGAAGACTCTAAGGAGGAAGCGGAAGCAATCGAGGAGGCAAATGCAGCAAAGGATCCAGACAATGGTGCGGTAGAGCAGCAAGATAAACCGCCTGTGCTGCACAGCTGCATGGCAGAAACTTTGTTGCGCTTGCGATGGGAGGTTGGCAAGAAGAGATTTCCTCGGCGCTCCTCCAATTTCTTCCCGCAGGTTTCAGTGATCTAAAAGTCCGGCCGACCGACCCAGCTTCTACCTTATCACACTGGAATGCTGAATGCGCTCCATGGACTTGTTCCAAGCCTTGATTCCTGCTCAAAGCAAGTCAGGTTAAAAGATAGTCGCTTGCAGCGCGCTCCATGTCTTCAATCTTGTTCCTCATTTGATGATTTTCACTTGCTGAATGCCAGGCAGGCGAAACCCCAGAAACGCTTGCCCAAGAAGGAGGCGAGCAGAAGATCCTCGGCCCCTCCGGATAAGCGATGACAAGCGTCTCCTGCAGGAGCATTGTGTTTCGGCATTGTAAACTATGATGTTGCTAAGATGGAAATCATTTAGCCTCTCAATTGGATGCATGTCGCTGGTGAGTGTGTAGGTGTTTGCCTTCGAGCCGATTAGTGCTACTTGCCTGTCTCACAGCTGTGAAAAAAAAAACGAAAACATATGTGCCCGTTACCTGTAGCAGACATCATTGCTGTGAATGTTGACTACTACCAGCATGACATGGTGGTGGGGTGTGTGATGCTCTCGCTCTCGCTCTCTCTTGCTCTCTCGCTCTCTCTCTCTCTCTCTCTCTCGCGCTCGCTCGCTCGCTCACCCACTCCTTTCCCTCATTCCCACGGAAAGTGCTCTGGTCTTCAGGGTGGCCCTGGTAAAGACGCTTTCGCTCCGCAGCCGTCTGGAACTTTCAGCCGGTTCATCATGCAGTTAACCCTGTCCGCATACTGAACCACCTATATGCTCCCTGGCAGTGTCAGTACGCTTTGGGAAGACAAAGCTTGCTCAGAAGTGATCATAAAACCAATCGAGCCTCAACTGAGGTTTCATGCAGCCAGTGAAGCCCGTTATTGCTGGTTTCTTGGCCGCATTCGTCATTGGTTGGTGTTTGCTGAGCTGTTGGACTTGTTTTGAGCGATGGGTGTATGTGTGAGTGAGCCCCTGCAGCAGAGAATATATTTTGAAGAGGCACTGGTGTAAGTATGGCCTGAAACGCAACAATCGTGTTGAACAATTCCTGAAGGCTGCCTTCTTGGCTCCGCGCTCGCAGCTTCTCGGACCACCATCACTGCAACCATTGCTGCATCGAGGGCTGCTCCTTGCATGAAACTTGTAGAGCTTGGGGCACAAGGCCACAGAAACCACATCGCCGAGCTGAGGGAGGTAACTTGAGGTTTCTTCAGCGACATAGATTTTTTGGATCATCATCATGGAGTCAATGTGGCTGAGGAGGTGACGCTGGAATCGCGGCCAAGAGCCTATATACAGGAAACGCGTGATAATTGCGCGTCAAGATCTTCCATGAGATAGATGCTTTAAACAATATGGGTGAGAGAGTTCCGAGGTACCCCTTCCTGGGAATTGCCACGCCCTCGACCATTGGAGATGCCATACAGATTGAATATGGTGAGAGGTGCCCAGGGCTGCATGAGCGTTAGGCAGCGTTTGGAACGTCCATCGCTGAAATGGCATGAGAACCTCAAGCTGTTTGGAGGGATTGCTTTAAATTGCTTTCTTCTTTTTTCTCCTGGTGTCTTCTATGCCATGTAGGCAGTCAAATTGTAGGTCCTTAGGGGCCATCTTGGCGTATTCAACGTCTCAGAGGAGTCATGTATAGACAATATACAACATATGCTTTTGCTTTCTTTTGCTTTTGTGTGTTTTGTATATTTTTTCGGGGCTCGGTCCAACTTTCCTGCAGGCCAGAACAAGTGGAGACGGCCAGCTTTCGAGCGTTGCGAGGGCCAAGGCCAGTCTCAGACGTCATGTGGTCACCTCCAATCAGACTGAGAGAGACTTCAGTTAGCTCGTAAATGTCTTACATGCACATGGTCACATTGTCACGGTCTTCACTTTGCGCATTCTAGGATGAACCACAGCAGCCCCAAGATGCGGACACTGATTGATTCGGTGTTGTCAATCTATTTCTTTGGTGCCGCATGGTCGCTTCTATGTTTTTGCCATATGCTTCGAAAATTTGCCCCTTGCCCGATTAAAGACTTGAGTGCATAGTAGCATGACTCAACTTTTGAAGCTGGATTTTGCACATGCTTCACTACTTCCAAGGCCTTTGAGACTTTTGACTGGCGACCCTTCATCATTCCAGTTCCAGCCTGGTTTGTTCAGATGCAATCAAGTGTGGCTCGCGGCACTTTTGCATCTCAGGTGACAGCCGGCTTTGCCTTCCTACCATTAGGCTTAGCAGGCGGGGCTGCCTGCGGGGCAAATGTGTCAAGAGACCTTTGGCCTTTGCAGGTCTTCTGGTGTTCAAAAGGGAGGATGGTACTTGCAGCACCTTGGCAGCAGCTATGAGAAGGAACGTGTGCAGCTTTCACTGGACGAGGCTATGCCAACTCAACACGCAATTTCATCATACCCATCAGTGACCTCGGATCCTGTGTCTGGGCTAGAGTCGAGATGGTCAGAGCTGTTTTGCCAATTTTCTAGCCTTCCCTCCCATGCGTTGGACTCTTGTGCTTGCCTGACTTTGTGGACAATGTGCATCCTTTTTCTTGAATCAAACTCTTTTGTAATGAACATTTGTAGGGGGAAGCTCCAGTTCTGAAAAGGTGTTTAGAGTGACTCCTGAGGTGGGAATCGCAGCCGCTAGCCCATTTGATTTCTTCGTCGCTCCTTGACAGTGCGCAGTCCCCAATGAGTGAGGCTACAATGTCCCCGAGCTGCTCACAGAGCTGGTGATTGTTGCAGCAATATCCTCATGTCTTTATGCTCAAATGCTTGCCAGGCCGGTCTCTCCTGTGTTTCGTGAGACGTTCAAGGAATGCAGATCTTGGTTGTTAGTTGTTCAGGTATTTCGAGAGGCAGTTTGAGGGGAAGAAGCTTGTCCGGAAAGAGCATGGAGTTTCACAGTGCTTCCGCAACTCCCCTTTCTGCTTAGGTACTGGCCCACACTTGCCTCCCATGTAATCCGCGCCCTTGGCTTTGTTTCCATGGCGGGTCTCGCATCTAGGCACAACTGTTAGCTGCTGTTAAGCTCAATCATGGGAGTGCGTCTGCATTATATGCCTTTGCCATCCTAGGTCGGAGTGGCAGTGATACCAACATACCTCTCACGCCTGCCACATCGTACTGCAGCTGCTTACCAGCAGGATTTCATGCAAGTTTTGCTCTTGGTACTGTGGGGCAGCCTGACCCACAAGGCATACGCATTCTTTTTGGCAAGCATTTGGATGCTCTTCCTGTACAGCAGCTTGGACTACTTTTGCGGCATTCTTCCTTCCAGACTCTAGACGAGACCACCTGCCTGTTGGCCGAGGCATACTGGTGATTTTCTTGCCTGTTGGCACTCGCACGAGGTTCATTTGCCCAGCCATTCTGGCAACTGAGATGCACGGAACTAGTTGTTGGCCAGATTCGTTTGGGATTGTGCCAGGCCAAATTTACAAGATTTGGGTATATACTTTGCATATCTTTGTGTAATATATATATAGGTAGTTAGTTGGATTGCAACAGTCAGCAAGCCCAGGCGGTTTTCTTGTGGTTCTCTATGACTGTCTATGGCGTATCTTGGTCAAACTTGGCTGCTCCACCGCTTTTTCCACACTTTGCAGTTCAAGGGAGCTAGAGTTGTGCGAGCAGGTGCTATTTACATTCAACTTCTGCGAGAGGATTTGCGGAGGTGCAACCTTCGACTTGGAGCCACAATCAGAAGAGTTGCTTGGGCATAAATATTTTAAAGCTGCATGCAGTGGCCGCCACGCACAGCACCACCTGGCAAGGATGCAGCTTGATGTCATGGCGCAATATAACAAATATCGCCCCTTGCCCAGCAAGTGAGAGAACAAGTCCCCGCTTTTGGATCAGATTCTGTGACCTGTTTGTCATCAGAGAGAGCTAAGGCTGGTGTTTGTCGATTGAGAGTGTGGCTGAATGGCTGTTGGTTGCAGTGTGCCTATGCTGTGAGTATGGGCAAGCCAATGTAGAGCATCGTAGTAATTTCTTGCAGAAGATGAAGCTGGTTGGGTTGTTTTGACAAGCTGTCCCTTCTAAATGACGCATGAGGTATGCGTTTTGGATACTCTTGGCTCCGGCTCCTTGTCAGAACTGCAGTACGGTGTTTGCGTGATCAGGCTCGACGGGACTAGTTCTCGAAGGAACGAGTTTGTGGTTTATTGAGCTCGCCAATCCATGCACTTTCTCCTTGCCTGTGGCTTGCAGAAAAAAGGCTCATATATGACTCATGTGCACGGCGTAGACAGATCAAAAGACAGATGACAAAGGGTCAAGGAGGAAGCCCCATACGCATGTGAATGTCTTCGAGGGTCATCACCATTATCACCATTCAACTTAGGTATACAGCATACATATATAGTATGAATATATAAAAAATATACTATATATATATATACGCGGGAACTTTTCAAAGTTGCAGCCATGGTCCTCATCTCCCGAAGAAACTGGCCTGAAAACTCGGAGGCGAAGGCAGGCGATGGGATCGAAGCAGGCAGCCGTGTGGTGGTGTTGAACGGCCGGAACTTTCCATCTTTCACAGCAGGTGACCAGGGTCGAGTGATCCGAGTGGACAAAGAGGCACTGAATTGTGAAGTTCTATTCGATGGTGCGAAGCAGCCAGTTCCAGTGGCCTTGAGACACCTGAAGCTCGGTGCAAGTGGCGCAAGTGTGAACGGGCGTGCACAGGGCGATGTGGAAGGTGATCGGGATCACGGGGAGTCCTCAGGTCGACGCAAGTCCAGCCTGTCAGATGGCCGAAGCCGCTCTGCAAGCCCCAGACGGTCTGTGGTCTTTGAGCCGGTCACGGACTCTTTCGAGCAGAGGCTGCGAGCTTGTGAGGTGGCCCTGGATAGCAGCTCCCAAATTACTCCACGCAAGGCCAGGAGGGATGGGAGGGATGTGGAAGATCAGCTGAGTGTCGAGGACCGACTCCTACAGATCGAGCAACGTATCAAGGGTGAGGTGGAAGTCCTAGCGAAGCAGCTCCGGGAAGCAATCACCTTTGGGCAAGCACAGGAGTCGAGAGCTAATGCCTTGGAACGGCATCTCAAAAACAGTGGTATTTCATTGCCAGGAAGCGGTGTGATTCCAGCTGCACCACCTGCACCCAACTCGCCCTTCAACTCGGGGCCCCTCTACCTTTCAGCTGCCTTGCCACCACGACTGTGTGCCACACCAGGGCGCTCGCCTACTCCCCCAACAGGGCCAGCAGGGCCTTGCATTTCTGATGAAATTTGTGGCAGCTGCGGGGCTCTCAACAAGGCTGGCTCCAAATATTGTATCAAATGTGGCCAAGGGTACCTCAGCTGCAAAAACATGTTTGATTATATAAGAGATTGAATTTTGCAATTCAACGTGATCTTTTCACCCTAGGCAAGATCATCCGGGCCAAGATCGTGACTCAGAGCGCGGTCTTCGCCGCCCTCTTTCAGCAACAGCCCTTCCAGCCTCAGGGTCATGCCAACCTGCATCATACGTCAGAGGTTCATCCTATTTGGCCCCAGTTCCAGCACATCCAGGGCAGTCTGGCTCCGCTCAACTTCTTCAGGCTACACATTCTGCGAGCCTCCCGATGGCAAATCCTCAAATGATGGCATTGCCAAGCTCGCAGCCGACCTTGCCATCAGGTGCCCGATTCAAACGAGTTTGGTGGTGGACAGTTTGGCACTGTTTTCTGTTAATAGACCATGCCACATCTCAAGATATCAAGGTCATGCAGCATTCCTGTGAGGTATGATCATGCCTGATCTGGAAGCCTGCGGCGTGAGTCCTGCCCCTCACATCTCTGCAACTGGCTTCACGCCACCACCAGTGCCACCACACGGACCAATCCTGACCCCGAGGCTTGTGCTCCCGCCGCATCCGTTTGGCTGAGCAAATTGCATGCTGCCCTCCCTGCACCAATTCGTACCATATTCGGCATGAAGGCAACGAGCTTAGGAGAAATCCTATTCGTGCCCCTGCGCCTGCAGTGCTGCTGAATGCGATCGAATGCTGTCAAATGCACCTCATGAAGCTTTCTTTATGCTCCGGAAATGGCAAAAAGTGCGGCGCTTTGGCAGTGTCACATTATATGCCGTACATAAATGCATGTCAAGTTTTTTTCAAGACCACACATGGAATTGAAGTTCCCCTGCAAAATCATTCCCCCAGGTTGAATCCACGCTAAGCGTGGGGGAAGCTGTCACAAAGAACTGATTCATGGATGCCAGTCAAGGTGTGTCCACACATCGTCTCACTTCATTCTTCAGGATTGGACCCAACCCTGCTTGGTACAAAAGCTACCGCGTTGCTTGGCACATGCAGTCCTTCCACTTTAGAGTTTTTCATTGTTGAACCTGTGTAGTCAAAAGTGCCGGCTCAAACTCCACCTGTGAGAATCTGTCAGAATCCACTGCAGCTGTGAGTTGAAGAAAAAGAAAGCAGAGGCACTGGAGTCAGGGGTTGTATCAGTTGTATCCCTTTTGAATGATAACTTCCAGTTGAAGTTGAAGTTTTACATTTTGGCAAGGAGCATGGCCGCAGCCACTTGGCAGTGACTGAGTGGTTAAGGTGGATGTTGACAACGCCAAACGAATCCCACCTCTTTCTGCCTGGAAAATGCTGAAGGTTGAGTACGAACAATGGCAAGAAGACACGCACTTGCAATCTGAAGAGCAGGAAACCTAGATTGTAGGTTGCACTAGCTTTTCATCGTGATGGCATGCTGGCATGCTTAGTGTTCAAGCAGCAGGCCACAGATGTACGAGATTACTCCGGACTATGTGAATATGCTGACTTCTCCGACAGATGGCTTTCTTTGTGAGCTGCGCCTTGGCAGCCTCACATCACTAGATCCATTTCTTGGCAAGAAGCATAATTCTTTTCTTAATCAAGCTGGGGGGGGGTAAAACAAGTTTGCCTGGGAGCACAGTAGATGGTAGGATTCGAGAAGCTAGTTGCAGTGACCGGCCGCGGAAGGGCCCAGCTCGCTTGAATTCCTTCGGGCACATCTGCCTTTGAAAAGAGTCAAAAGGAGTCGAAATGGACGCTTTTTCATTGGGAGTTTTAGTGAACATGTGCCGAATTCGATACAATTTTTTGCATTTTTCGCCCTTCGTGAGCTTGAGGGAACACAACGTCTACAACATTCAATTTGCACCTTGGCTTTGAAGCTACTTGGATTTGTGCTGGCACCCATGGATTTCGAGTGCATGCCATCCAGGGGTGTTGATTGTCAACATGCTGCCATGTAGATCACATGTGCAGCAGCGACTCTGCCTGTCTTGGTCTCATGCATGTGTGTACATGCATGTGGCCTGCAAGGATAGAAACAAGCCCTGCTAACCATGGAAACAACATTGGCATATTTGTGCTACTCTGTGTGGATGCAGGTGAATTTCAAAATCAGGTGCCTTGACGAAGGTCAAGAGCGCGCCTAGCCCTTGGTGACCTCTGCGCTAGGACAGCTTTTGACACATTTTACGGATTGCACATAGATCAAAGGATGCGGCTCCGAATGGTTGGGGATGAAACGCACCTCCTTTGGCTTCTAAGGTCCTTTTTGATTTGGGTGCAGGGGACCTCCCCGCACCACCGCCACCTGACATTGGTGAGGCCCGTCACCTGACAGCTTTTGTTTCGCATGGGGCCCACAAGCACACTGTAGTACATCCTTGCAGAATGCATGCCGTTTCATCCGCTACCACTTCGGACCCGAGCTGCTGGGCAATGAGCTTTTGCTTTTTGAGATGTTTTTTGATCTTGATGCTGCTCTGTAAGCAGCTGCAAGTAAGTTAGGTCCTCGCATCTTGGTAGATTTTAGGTTTTTGGGCATCCACAACATTGGTACAACTCTTGAGTTCACCAACGGAAGCACAGCTGCACTATGGTTTCCCTGCCTGAACAGTCCGATCAGTGCCGATGTTGATTGTCAATTCTGAGGTGACTATGAAGTACACAATTTTAGAATGATTGAGCGACACTACTTCCGAGATCAACTCATCACAAGCTGCCCAGCTGGTAGACACAAGGTCAGCAAATGAGGCCTTTTCATTGTATAGTGGGTCAAGACGACATGTGTTTTTCAAGCTTTTTGAGCATAGTTCGTTCTTGGACCCAAGGCTATGACTTCACCATGCCTTTTGTAATCCCCAACACTAGGACTCATGTGTGCTTAGTGCTTCTCAATTTGTGGCAGCCAAGTGAGCCTTGTGCCAAGCAGGAACACATGGGAGATGATCTACACCAAGCCAGAATTCACGGACGAGTGGAAGGCCCCTTGCTGGCACATATGAAAAGAGTTGATTGTTACTGACAATTGCTACATGTGACATGTGGCTACAATGTCACAGTTCTCACGGTTCATGCGCACACCGTCAACTCATTGATGACGCCCATGAGCTTTGATTGTATTGTTCTGGGCAACTTGACGCCTTTTATATATTCTTAGGCTCCAAGCTGTGCGGTTAGCTTGTCAGAAACAATGGCGTTGCTTCTGACCACGAACCACATGGGGTGCAAACTTGACGGGCAAGAAAGTGTGAAGAGTTGTTCGCACTCATTTGACATGATCCTAAACTCTAGGAACCAAATAAAGAAGGCGAAGGCTTCCTTGAAGAAGCCTGAGCTTTCCTAGTAGCCACTCTTATGGCCTACCACACTCTGTGCCCTCGAGCCCCCAGTAGCGTCCTTGCTCCTAGTAGCGATGCCAGGAGCCCCTAGTAGCGTCCTTGCTCCTAGTAGCGATGCGAGGAGCCCCTAGTAGCGTCCTCGCTCCTAGTAGCGATGCCAGGAGCC